GATTACATTTGAAGTTTATGTAATATATTATGCATTAAAGTAAAATAAGTGAATATGATTAGAATAATGTAATAGATCTAATATATTTTATAATGTAACATATTTTATTGTTATAAAAGAAGATGTAAATTTTAATAGAATTTTAATAGAATTTTAATATAATCAAATAATTCATGAGTATTATTGAAAGAGTAGTCTCAATATGCATTTTTTAATATACATATTTTCATTTATATGTATATGAAAACAATTACATTTACAGTTTGTCAACATTGTGTTTGCAATTTTGCAATTTCTTATTTTTAACGGGACAGAATACCGTTAGATGAGTCTGAGTTTTTCTGTTTGTTATAATATTCTGCAAAAACTGTTCAGTTTCTTTGTTATTTAATAAGTAGAGTGTTTTAAGTGAAGGAATAACTAGAACGCACGTGATTAAATATATCCCACACTTATCAATGCAATTTCAACTGTTGTGCATAAATAAGTAAGCGCACATTTAAATTAATTATAATTAGCATGTGAATATTCTATTTTTTTTTAAATAATTGTAATAATTAGTGTATTATATTTAAAGTTTATTCTGTACTAAAATTTTTCTGACTTCTGGTATATGATTTTTTAAGATAAAAGGTTTTTCTTTTCAAAGAAAATTAGTTTCTGAACTTTGGCACTCAATAACTTTTGAGTTAATCGACCAATCTATAAATATTATTATATTAAATGAAAGCTTGATGTGTCCTCTTTCGATTAAGCTAATTTGCAGAAAAATGGTATCTCTGCTTTTAAAGATATAAATTATTTTGTATCAAAGAAAATTAGTTTTTGAACTTTGGCACTCAATAACTTTTAAGTTAATCGACCAATCTATTAATATTATTACATCAAATGAAAGCTAGAAGTGTCCTCTTTCGAGTAAGCTAATTTGCAGAAAAATGGTACCTCTGCTTTTAAAGATATAATTAATTTTGTAATGCAACCTCGTTTTTACAAATATTTGCTTTCCATTTTTAAAGAAAATTTGCTCTATACTATATAAAAACTGAGTATATTTAGAAAACCAAACATATTTTTTACTGTTATATGTCTTTTATTTCATAGTTTTTAATTAAATAATAATGTTTTAATTAATTAAAATTTGAAATGACATCGTAATAAAAAATCGACGCTAACTATATTTTGACATTAAATTTCCCAAATTTATCATCAATGCAAATTAAACTGTTTTGCATTCACAAGTTAGCGCATAATTTAATTAATTTTATTTAATTTGTTAATCGAACAATATATATAATATTAGACATTAATTGGCTTAGAAAAATTCTAGTTTTTTGTTCAAATAATATCTTAGATGCAATAATCTTAATAAAAATTCGACGCTAACTATATTTTGATATTTAATATCCCACATATGTATATCATCAACGCAATTTCAACTGTTGTGCATGCCCAAGTTAGTTCACATTTAATTTAATTATATATAATTTGTTAATCGAATAAGATATATAATATTGTATATCAATCGTTTTAGAAAAAATTCTAGTTTTTTATTTTGATAATATCTTTGATGCAGCAAGTTTAATAAAAATTCGACGTTAGCTTTTCTTTTGCAGTACTATGGACTTACCAATAACTCTGCAACTGTACATTATGTTTTTCAGTGCCATTTTAATTTTTCAGCGAATTTAATTTAAGATGGTATGCCATCTATTAACCAACTTTGTACAGATTTTTTGAATAATTAATAAAATTAAATTAATTTCGTTTTTTTTCAAATAATTGTGCTTATTAGAGTATTGTATTGAAAGTTATTTATATATAAACTGTTTTCTGACTTCTGGGATATGCTTTTTATAAGAAAAATGTCGTTTTTAAAGGAAAATTGATTTCTGAACTTTGACACTCAATAACTTTTAAGTTAATCGACCAATCTATAAATATGAAGACATTAAATGAAAGTTTGAAGTGTCCTCTTTCGATTAAGCTAACTTGCAGAAAAATGGTACCTCTGCTTTTAAAGATATAATTAATTTTGTAAAGTAACCTATTTTTACAAAATTTTATTTTCCTTATTTTGAAGAAAATTTTTTCTATATTATGTAAAAAGCGATTATATTTAGAAAAACAAACATATTTTTTATTGTTATAAGCTTTTTAGTTCATAATTTTTGGTCAAGTAACAAAGTTTTAATTAAATAATATTTGAAAATGACATCTCTATCTTCATCGCAGTACTGCTCCTAAGTTAATCGAACAACCTATACAAAATTATATTATTATATTATTATATTATATGAAAGGTAATTTTATCCTCTTTCGAATGAGCCATAAAAAAAAAATGGTACCTCTAGTTTAAAAGTTATTAATAAATTAGTGACCCCATCTTTTGGGGCTGATTTTTATTTTTCATTTTTCATACAAATTACATCATTTACACATAAAAGTTGAATGTAGATAGTAAATTAATTCAATTTTCTACTTAATAATGCCTTTTGCTGCATTAAATTTAATAAAATAATAAATTTTTCCTTAATTAAACTATACTGCATTTTTCATGCGGCGAAAAATGTTCCAATTCCATTTTGGACTTATCGTCGACGCTATCTTCACGCACATACATTCTCGTGTGGTGAATTTTTCGTGTTACATAAACAGAAAACTCGAAAGAAATGACAAAAAGCAAGTGAGAACTTTTCGAAAGAAATCGTTCGAGTTAAACTCGAACGATATACATAAACGAGCCACAGATTTTTGAATATATTTTAATAAAATTATTATAACAAATTTAATATATTTAAATTTTTATTTATTTTTCCACAAATTTCCACAAATTAAAGCGTTAACTATTCTTATTTAAAACAATAGATAATTAAACAAAAATTCTGAAATGAATGGGATTTCTAGAATAAATTAAAATAAACTTTTGCAATTATGCACAGGTAAAACATTACTTTTTTTATTGTAGCATCTGCACAATCATAAACTGTTATCAGTTTATTAATTTTCCACAAATTAAAGCGTTAACTATTGTTATTTTTATTGTTAACTATTGTTACAATAGAATAATGAAAGGAAACCAATTCCTAGAATGAAGGGGATTCCTGGAATAAGTTTAATATATAATTTTTTTTAATTTTGCGCAGGTAAAACATCGCTTCTCTTTTATTGTAAATCTACAGAATCATAAACTATTATTACAGTCTACTAATTTAATGACAATTCTATCCTAATTATAAAAATACATACGAGTTTTGGAGAGGAACTCAAATTTTAGTTAAAACATTAATAATTTCAATTAATTAAATAAATGATTACAATGTTTAATTTTAGTGAGTTTATAATTACGATTCACGTATTTGGGGTTCGACTTGATAAGTCCTACGTAGAAAATCTTCTTTGTTGACGTGGATGATTCATATCTGATAACAGCTCGAGTGCCAGTGAGTTCGGGTGGTTTGATAGCGTTGTACGGTAGTTTGTGCTGATTGATTGTATTATTTCAAACACTGACGGGACATGGAGATCGCGAGTAAAGTGTTATTTGGTATATACCATGGAGCAGCCGCACATAAACGAAGTATTTTTGATTCAAATTTCTGTAATATCGCTATATTAGATTTTGCAGCCGTTCCCCAGATCGAGACACCGTAGGTCCATATTGGTTTTAAAATAACTTTATATAAAAGTACTTTATACTTTATTCAGTGATAGTTTTAAATTTACGGAAAGAAGCCAGTACATGGAGCGCATTTTCAGACCCAGTTGCTTGCGTTTCGTAATATATTTTGTTTCCAAGTGAGACGCCGATCAAGATGAACACCTAAATACTTCACGTGATCGGATTGTGATAGTATGTTATTATTTAGTGTGACTGGTGGGCAGGAACCAAGACGAAGAGTGATTGTGGTTTGTACAGATTTATATTCATTAGCTTTAATACGCCATTTGTTTAGCCACACTTGGATGCTGTCTAGGTTTGTTTGCAACTGACTAGCGATTATTG